CAGACATTGATCTCAAGCATTCATTCAAAGTTTGTATTTTAAAACTTTGTCCCTACGCAACTAATCAAATTCTAGTTCTCACAAATTGTGTCAGAGCTTGAGTGGTTGTTCTTTGAATCCACAAGAGCAGATTGTAGTTGGTTTGAACATACCTTGGTATTTCAACCATTTCTGTATTCAGGATAAAATTTCTTCTATATACCACTTTTTCTCAAGATATCTTAACTTCGATGGCTGCTTCTAATCCTCAACAAATGATTTCAATGCAAATCGCAAATAGTGTGGGTGGCCCTACACGTGCCCCATTACTAGTAGTGGAAGAATATGATCACTGGAAAGTTAGAATGACAAGATTTCTTTTAGCCAAAGATAAAGATGAAGAGATCTGGAGATCCGTGAAAGAAGGTCCTCATGTTCCTGTTAGAACCATTATAAGAGATGTTGCTACTCACCATACCAATGGGTCCAAGGCACCAAGGCCAACCCATTTTATGATATATATACATATATATATATATATATATATATATATATATATATATGGATAAATAGTTGATTAGATGATATGTTGCTACGCCACATGTATGGAAATCCCCAGGGGGTTCTCGTGGCAATATGTTAAGACCATGAGGAGGTTCTTATGGCATTTTGTATAAGTTGTTGGAGGGTTTCCACGGTTTCCTAGCATGTTTACATGTTTAGTTCATATAATATTTCTATGATTAGGTAAGACCGTGTGGAGGTTCCCACGTCAGTGAGCCAAGACCACGTGGGGGTTCCAGTGGTAGCTAGTAAAGACCACATGGGGGTTTCCAGTGGCACTTGGTGTAAGACCTTGGATGGTTTCCACGATCCAATATGTTTATATGCATGGCTTATGTGGTCTATGTAGCTTTATAGCTAATATGTTATGTGTGATTATGTGGACTGTGTGGGGTATGTTTCGTGGAACTCACTAAGCATTAGCTTACATTTTGTTGGTTTGTTTCAGGTACTTCTGAGCCTAAGGGAAAAGGAAAGGCTTGATGGCGCGGCATGCACTCCATCAAACATTTTTATGGGACCCTATGATATTTGAAATAAAATTTATTGATGTTGTGAATTCGAAAACAATTGTTCTTGAGATTTTATGGTTTACTGGAAATGTTTTGATTATTTAAAAATGAAAATTTTTCTTTAGAAAATTTGGGTTGTTACATCGTTAGGATCATATCTGAGTTTGGAAGTCATTGGCTTAACCGTTAAGAGCTTAATATGGATTTTTAGTCCCTGATGAGTATGTCGAGCGTACACAGGAAGTATGCTCAGCGTAATCAAATTTTCATGCATTAGCTGTTTGTAATATGTGCTTTGTGGGTGAGTACATTGGGTGTACCATTATGGTACGCGGGGCATACTCCCCAGTTTGCCATTTTGGGCTTTTTGAGACTTGGGCCTTGTTAGACCATTGGACTTTAGACTTTGGGTCATGAATGGACTTAGGGTTTTCTTGGAAGTAAGTCCATGATGGTTTTGGGGCCCAATCGAGTTATTGGTACATAATGGGCTTTTTTTTGCTTTTGATTTGTACTTTGGATTGCCGTTTTGGGTTTTAGGCTTTTTATGCATTTTGGGTTGGGCCTTGCTTATGGAACAAGTAAAAAATGGGTAAAATGGCCTTTTACCCTTTTGGAAGTTAGTTTATGGAGTGGGCCTTAAATTTAGGTTATCAGGTTAATTATTTGTTAAGATTGTATTTATTGTTAGTTGGCATGAGGTTATCCGGTTCGGCGGTCCGAGCAATTATTTGAGTATTAGCGAATTGATGTGAGTTTTCCTCACTATACTTGTGGGTCGAAGACACCAAGGTCGGCCCATTGGATTAGATATATTGTTATGTGATAGTATGTTATTATGCTATAGTGATCTGTTAGATCGTTATCCTGGTATATAGGATGATACTATGCTTAGTGATCTGTAGATCTGCCCGATTGTCTGTTGGTTAGTGGTTGAGGTTTTACTGCTATGTGTATGAGCCAACAAACCGGGGGCATTCCAACTCGATGGTTGATTGGGCCCAAGGGTATTCCATCCCGAGGATGATTAGACCTGATGTATATTGGCATTCCAACCCGATGGTTGATTGGGCCTGGGGTATTCCAATCCGATGGTTGATTAGACCCGACATGATTGTATGGTATATGGTGAGATTGGACTGCTTTGTGCATCAGTCAATAGGCATGGGTTATTCCAACCCGATGGTTGATTGTACCCGACATGTTTGGTATTCTAACCTGATGGTTAATTGTACCAACATGCTTATGATATGAGGGTATTCCATCCTAAGGATGATTGGGCCCATCGTAGACATGCCTGGTATTCTAGACCGAGGCTGATTGGGTCAGGCATAAGTATTTGAGCATGCTTGTTCATATATGCTATCTGTTTATGTGGTAGTACTTTGGGGGAACTCACTAAGCTTTGTGTTTACAATTTCAGTTTATTGTTTCAGATGCTTCAAAAGATTGTAGCAAGGCGAAGGCGTGACTGTACACATCCTTGGTTTTGGATCTTGGGAGACTCTAATTTTAAATCATGTTTTGGAAACAATGGTTTTGTAAACACTTTTATTAGTAAAGGGTTGTTTTGAAAACTTTAAATTTTGTTGAAATTTTTGGGATGTTACATCACACCACGAGACTCCGCCCAAGAGTCTAACTGATAAAGGCTACCCTAGCCTAACTACCACACATATTCGGTCCGTTGATCAAAGAATTTTCCTACTCCAATCGTGATCTAGCACCTTAACTAAGCCAATTACAACCGGTCCCTATCCTCAAAAGACATGTGTGTATGATATCATTACCATTGTTGTATATCGATTTTTTTAATGTTAATTTTATTAATAATATGAAGTGTTCTCTTACATTGAGTTTTTATCTTGTGAGTAAACAAAAATCAAAGTCCTATATAACTGGTTTGCAATTATGTCCATCGGGTGTTTGATATGATGTTAATGTATGATATAAGCTTCATCATCCATTGTGTTTAGGTGTTGTTGGGAAAAAAAAATCTCTTGCTCTTTTCTATTAGTTATGTGTTTGCTTTCGTTCCATATGGAACAATGTATGGTAAGTTAAAGAGTAAATATTTTATTCATCTTTTTTCTAATCGTTTGATTGTATTTTTCTTTTTATTTTCGTAGTGTTCATATGTATCTATTTTTTGTACAAACAAACATATGTCCACCAAATAGTCCCCTTAGTTTATTAAAAATGTTAAAATAAAGAAAAGGGAAAAAAGAGAGGGCGTAATGGTATTGTCATGTTAGCGCCATATGGATATGTTTTGATGTGACATGCTATGTATTGATGGTAACCGGGTAACTGTTTCACTTGTTTCATAATGGCTTAATTGGCACTGATTTTACAAGTTTACTGATCTATTGTGCAAAAAAAAAACATGAGTGACAAATTTGGGACAAGACACATAGTTTATTATGCTAAAGCAACGTTTTCCCTTACGATCATGTTTTATTTACCATAGGACGATTTACTTATTAATATTTTGGTTGTAGTGCCTTTACAATAAAATGATTAAATTAAATAAATGGTCTATTCATATGATACAATGAAAATTACAACTTTGATCCAACTTTGTGTTTTGTTACATGGGCTATCTGTACGGTTTCATTTTCTTGCATGGTGTTTCTAATTACTTAGAACATTCACGATGCATAGTTTAATGAAATGGTTGAATGATTAATTTAATTCAATGAATTAAACTCAATCATAGTTGAATGAGGGTCATTTAACTCTTCAATGAGAAAAGTAAAACCTTTTAAGTTTAAAACAAACATTTGATTGAATTTTTGTAGAGTTTAAAACAAATAAAAGTCATGACTTCCAGCTACATGTTGAATTAAGATATCTAAGGTGTTAACTAAATTAGTATAATGTTGATGAATAAAAGTAAAGTCATTTTTAGGTTCTCGTGATAATCAGGAAATGATTATGATTGATCAAATAAGAGAGATAAATGATTTATTAATATATTATATGATTAAAATTAAAATATTAATTAGAAATTGTAATAATTAATTAAGAATTAATCAAAATTAATTTGGAATTAATTATAGGTTAATTAGAATTAATTAAAGGTATAAGGACGAACTGCAATTACTCAATAATTGAACAAAAGAGAGGATCTAGAACCTCCCTGGAGTATGGGCAATTTTAGAGGCTCTTGATAGGGCTTCGTGAAGCCTCCAACTGATAAAAGGACACTAGATAATTACTAATTTAAACTTCTCCTCTCCCTTCTCTCCTTCAATCCTAGGGTTTCTGGGATTATCAGACAACTATATAAAGGGGTGCAACCCTTGTATTTTCGGCCTAACCTATTCAACAAGAGAATTCCGAAAATTATCCTCTCCCCCCTCACCTTTAATAATAGGGTTTATTGAGTTTTGGGTGTGACGCATTAGAGACTACCATATTTTTGGAGCTAGTTTTTCGGTGAAACTACAAAAGATTTTGATTAGCTTGTTTCAAATCAAGCACAATGTATGTGGTTCTATTCTTGAATTTGATTTCATAGGGTTTATAGTTTTTGTTTCATAAATATGTAGTTATTAATAATGAAAAGACATAAATCTAATTTAGATTGCATATAACCTTTAAGAGTTAATGAAATTTCACATGTACAATGTAATTGTAACCTAAAAACCCTCACTAGTACCATCTAGTTTTTGTGGAACAGTTTTATGTCATTCTAAAATCCTTGTCCGGCTAATTAAAAAGAAAAAAAACATTTTGAAGTTCTCTTACTAACTCTTTTTTTTTTAATAAAAGATTTTTTTGGGAACTTTATTAAGAATATATTTTAAACACAAAAAATGAAATATAAAAACACATGGGACAAAAGCCACTACGTCATGAGTGATCAAACTGGTTTGAACTTTCTATATTATAATATAACTTTCTTCTTACAGTTCCATTGACTCATTTGCTACACCCAATATGAGCATGGAAGCCGTCGGTGTACTGATGATGTCTCCGATGAATTCTTATCTCGAAGAGGAATTGGATAAACGCTTCAAGCTTTTCCGCCTGTGGAACTTCCCTCAAAAGGACGACTTCTTGAAACAGAATTCCGATTTCATCCACGCTATTGTTGGAAACCCATTCTTCGGTACCGATCGAGAATTGATCGACTCGTTGCCGGTTTTGGAGATCGTGTCGAGTTTCAGTGTCGGATCAGACCATGTAGATTTGGCATATTGTAAGGAGAAAGGAATTAGTGTTACAAATACACCCGATGTATTAAACGAGGATGTGGCTGACACAGCGATTGGATTGATATTAGCGACATTGAGAGGGATCTGTGAGTGCGATCGGTATGTTAGGGCTAGATTATGGAAGAAAGGCGACTTCAAATTAACTACTAAGGTTAGATTTCTGTGTCTGCTCGAATTTTGCAAAATTCTTCAATTTTCTGTTTTACCAATTCAAATTCTGAGGCTGTTTCATAATATGGTTGATGTTAGCCTTGCTTTGCTATATGATGTTGTTAATCCTCGAGATTATGAAACAAATTACTTTCACCCTATTTGTAGGCATAAAAATACGGTTGATGAATCAGTAATGAGTAATGTTCTTATAAATTTCTCATTTTTTATAGAAAAGATAGAGGTAGCAAACTATGCATGGTTCTTTGGTAACGGGTTTATCTTTTAGCAAATAATTAGTATTTAAAAATATTGTTATACTTATACAAACTATATTATTAGAATAACAATGAGATATAATCTTATAAATAAATCAATTGGAGTTGAAGACAAAGGAAAACTGGTGTGGTAGGGTGGTAGCATGGTAGAGAGCGCCGGCCGGATTCCATGAAGACATGGATCCATTTGAGAATAGGTTTGTGGGTCCGTTTAAGAAAAAGTAAATTTAAAAAAGAAATTCTATTTATATAAAATAATAACATATAGAATTTATTAATTTTTTAATCTTCTTTTAATTTAATACGTAGGTTAGGGGAAAGATATTACTCTAAAACAAAACTACAAAAAATATGAAAAATATAAGTTTAATATTTATTCAAATACAAGAGCTACAAATCAAACCTCGTTATATTAAAAGGTTTTCTAGAAACCGCCGATTACTTGATTACTTGAAGACATAATCTATCAAGGAATGTGTACGTGTCGTGTCGTATAAATAGAGTTTCGATCTGTGTCATCGGAATCTCCTATCTGTCATCAAGGCCTTCTGATTACTAAATAGGTACGAATCCAACACTCACTGGACTCATCTTTCCTATCCCTGTTGACCTCAGACAACCAACCTTGATCATGGAAACCATCGGTGTACTGCTAACGACTCCGGTGTATTCTTACCTCGAAGAAGAACTGGATAGCCGCTTCAAGCTTTTCCGCATCTGGAACTTCCCTCAAAAGGACGAGTTCTTGAAGGAGAACTCCGATTTCATCCGCGCCATCGTCGGAACCCCCAATTTTAGTGTCAACCGAGAAGTGATCGACTCGTTGCCGGCTCTAGAGATCATATCGAGTTTCAGTGTCGGATTAGACCATGTCGATTTGGCGTATTGTAAGGAGAAAGGAGTTAGTGTTACAAATACACCGGATGTATTGACGGAGGATGTCGCTGATACAGCGATTGGATTGATATTAGCGACATTGAGAGGGATCTGTGAGTGCGATCGGTATGTTAGGGCTGGATTGTGGAAAAAAGGTGACTTTAAATTGACTACTAAGGTTAGATTTCTTCATCTCCTCTTAAATTTTTTCAGTGATCTCATCTACGTATAGTTAGTTGTACTGTTTTACTTTTTCATATATCGATGCTGTTTCATGGCATTATTGATGTTAACGTTACCGGGCTATACGACATTGTTAATCCATTCAGCCAACGGAATTGCTTTCACTTTCACCCTTGTTTACATTGTAGGTATAACCGTATAAGTATTGTTCTTCAAATAGGGTTTCAATGATAGTTCTTCGTATTGGTTCCTAACTTTGACATTCAAAGGGTCAAATAAATATACTATTCCTAAACTTAAAGGCAAACTACAAATAATAATAATAATAAATAAATAAAAAATAAAAAATTTACATTGGATCAATAATTGATTTAATATTTATATATTTTTTAATTTAATTAAGTCCCAAAAACCTATTCAATTTAATCTTTTTATAGTTCATTTAACTTTTAAAAATTACACTTTTAGCTCATATTTTAAATTTTATCATAAATTTGGTCAAATTTATACTTATTGCCTAAATTTTAAATTTTCTTATAAATTTGTTCCAAAATTTATTTTTCGGTCCAAATTTCAGAATTTTGTTATGAAATCATCATGGCTTTAGTTTTTTTATATGCATACAAATAGGTATATATATATATATATATATATATATATATATATATATATATATATATGTGTGTGTGTGTGTGTTTGTGTGTGTGTTTGGATATATAATATATATGAGCATGTTTGAATACAAATGAATTTATTATAAATTAGGTATATATATATATATATATATATATATATATATATATATATATATATATATATATATATATATATATATATATATGAAAAGAGTGTTCATATACATCTTTTTTATAAAATACATGTTTGTATTCATTATTTTATAAAAATGAAATTATATATTTATATACTTAATAAATACCAATTTTTATAAATAGGTATTTCGTATAAAAAAATTTTAAAAAGTTTTTACATAGAAAATATGTTTTTATAAAGAAAAAGGTTTTATATAGAAAAGGTTTTATATAATTTTTTTTTGCCAGTGAAGCAAAAATAATAAAAACTTGTAAAACTTAAAGGTTTTCGTGTGATTTAGTATGTACTAGTTGTAACACCCTTTTATTAAATAAGTTAATTTTAAAAAAAGAATTAAATATAAAGGTCAAAATATTTGAAATTCTTGAATTTATAAGAAGATAAAAAAAATGAAATTTAATAAAAGAGAAAACTCATAAAATGACATATTGAAATAATAAATACAAAATAACCACTAAATGATATTTCGCAAATTGAATGAAAGTGTGATAAGTGGAAAAAAAAACTTTCATTTATTAAAGTTTTTATATATATATATATATATATATATATATATATATATATATATATATATATATATACACACACACACATACACACACACGGTGATAAACCCGTGTATTATACGGGTTAATTAAAAAAATAATTAAATATTAAAGTGTTACATTAAATATTTTTTAAAATAAAATTTCGAAATAAAAAGGAAGGAAGAAACATGATCATTGCAATTTATTTTCATATTTATTACAATGAATACTTCACATATATAAGTAAAAATATTATACAGGCTTTTTAATTTTAAATTTTGAAAAAATAAAATCAAATGTGGATATTATTTATTCTATATAATGACAAGTATCGAAATTTATAAGAAATTGACAAATGGTAAAAAAGCATTCATTTATAAAGGAGAATATATGTATATATATATATATATATATATTTTCAAGGTTTGTAATACATTTTTTTTGTTATTAGTATTTTACCAATATATCGTATTTAAAAAAAACAAGTTTTGTTTATTATATCAAAATAATTATGTTACATAGATAAAAAAAAAAATCTTAAATTGTAAAACGTATGATATTTATATTTCAACTAGGTAAAAACCCGAAGAACTCACGGATGTTAATGTTAAATAGAATTTAAAATTTAATTATGTAATAAATAATATATTATTAAGTTAGATAACTTATATAGTATTTTTAAATAACTTTTTTATTTGTAAGTATTTAATTACACAATAAATAGTAAGTATTTAATTACAAATGAATATTTTTAAAACCCTTACTTTTTATTGATTCTTAATCGTTCATGGTGATTGCACATTAGATTAATAGAAATTATTGTTGTTTTCTGTTTTTTTTTTTTTTTTAATTTTATATGTTTCTTTTTTAGGTTACTTACTACGTCATGTTTCTTTTTTAGGTTTACCGACTATAAACTTTACCAATATATCGTATTTAAAAAACAAGTTTTATTTATTATATCAAATAATTATGTTACATAGATAAAAAAAAAAAATCTTAAATGGTAAAACGTATGGTATATATTTTTCAATTAATCTTATAATAAGAGAAAGAAAACGTGAGATCCGCGCTAGACTCTATGCATATCAGATTATCAGCAAAGCCATTTTAAGTATTATACTTATCGTTCCTACACCAGTGGACCTCAGCTACTCACCGAGCTCGATCATGGAAGCCATCGGTGTCCTCATGACCTACCCCATGTCTTCTTACCTCGAACAAGAGCTCGATAAACGCTTCAATCTCTTCCGTTTGTGGAATCTCCCACAGAAAAACGACTTCTTCAAGGAGAATTCAGGTTCAATCCGAGCCGTCGTCGGAAACGCCAACGCCGGTGCCGACCGAGAATTGATCGACTCGTTACCGGCTTTAGAGATTGTATCTAATTTTAGCGTGGGGTTAGACAAGGTGGATTTGGGGCATTGTAAGCAGAAAGGGATTAGGGTTACTAATACACCTGATGTGTTGACCGAGGATGTGGCTGACTTGGCGATTGGATTGATGTTGGCGACGCTGAGAGGGATTTGTGAGTGCGATCGATATGTTAGGGCTGGATTGTGGAAGAAAGGTGACTTCAAATTGACTACTAAGGTTTGACTTCATCATCTACGCGAATTCAGCAATTTTTTTAATCGATCTCCTGTTCTATTAACTCAAATATTAGATGCTAATTCACACTATCATGGATATGATCTTCCTTATTGAATTTCGCCATTACTCTCACTCTAGTTATACAGTAGACTAACATACTATATCAGTTCTGATTTGGATGCTGTTTCTCACTGCTGTGATATTGTTTTTCATCTTTTGTATATATTCCTTGTTGCAGTTCAGTGGCAAAAAGGTGGGAATCATAGGTCTAGGAAGAATAGGGACAGCAATTGCAAAGAGGGCTGAAGCATTCAACTGTCCGATAAGTTACTATTCCAGATCACAAAAACCAGAATCAAAATACAAATACTTCCCCAGTGTAGTTGAATTAGCTTCCGACTGTGACATCCTTGTTGTGGCGTGTGCACTAACTGCAGAAACTCGCCACATCATCAACCGCCAAGTCATCGATGCGCTGGGTCCCAAGGGGTTTCTCATCAACATAGGGAGGGGCCCACACATTGATGAACCTGAACTGGTATCTGCCCTTGTTGAAAGGCGAATAGCAGGGGCAGGTCTTGATGTGTTTGAGAAGGAGCCCCATGTCCCTGAAGAGTTGTTTGGTCTTGATAATGTGGTTCTGTTGCCACATGTCGCGAGTGGAACTGTTGAGACACGAAACGCGATGGCTGATCTTGTTGTTGGAAACTTGGAGGCTCACTTTTCGAAGAAGCCATTGTTGACCCCTGTTGTTTGAATACGATTATGATGATATTGGTATTAAGTTACTACCATTTAAAAAGATGTTGTTGACACTTGTGAGCTTCTTTTAAAGTCTGCTTATTCTTCTAGCAAAGCTTTAAACTCCTCAATACCATTTTCAATTCATGGGTTGTGCAAGGAAAATGAATAAATATACGAAGCAGATTGTAGCATTGTGTTGGTATTTTAAGATTTTGATTTTGCAATTGACTCTAACCACACTTAAAATTGGCCTTTTTGATTGGAAAAATATGTAGGGGGAAATGAGCTATATGCATGATTATGAACCATAAAAATAATATATAAAATTTGACATTTTTATATTTTAAAATAGTTCTTCTCTCTTTAAACTTTTTTCATATTCTTTCCATCTTTTAAACATGTTCAAGTTCTTGGACTCTTTTAAGTATTTTAAACTCTTAAAAGCTCTTTTAAAGTCTTTCAACCTTTTTAAACTCTTTAAATATTTTCAATTCTATAAGCGTTTTCAAGCTTTATACGCCTTAACTCTATAAACTCTTTTAAGCTTTATCAACTTTTTAAGCTTCTCCAAACTCTTTCAAGCTCTTTTAACTCTTAAACTCGTTTGACAATTTATTAAGTTTATGGAAGAATCACATATGAAATCGTATACTAAATAATAATCAAACAAATGATAAATGATGTATTCAAAAACAGTCCAAAGCATGGTATGGAGTATGGACTATGGAATCTCATACCAAAATCCTAAGTTAACTATGTCTCTCTTCTCTTTATCTCTTAATGGGTTCCTTTTCCCTCTTACAAAATAGTCTGTCACGTAAAGCATGTTTTATAAACGACTTTAGCTATCGATAATTGTATTGTATTATTGTATTATTTGTGAATGGTAAATACATGGGATATTTATAGGTAGGGGTGAGCATTTGGGCCGAACTAGACCGGACCGGCTCTTGGATCAGACCGGTTATGAAGAATATTGTGGACCGTGGACCGGACCGGATGAGTCGTGTTTGTATCCGGGTCCAGGACTGGGTTTTCCAGTTTGTTGGACCCGTTTGGACCGGTACAACTTTAATTGCATAGAATACAAGTCGTTAAAATAAGTTTTTAGGTTTGATAGAAATCATTAAAACGAATATGTTGTTCGGTTTGATATGATACAACTTGTAAAATTGATTACGTTTTCGTTTCATGCATAACTAATCTACCTTGATGTTATAATATTATAACTTACAAAATTAATTTTCAAAATAAAAACAACTAACATAAAAATCAAGTCCACCAAGATCCATTTCATATGATTTATCTATCAAAGATACATAAAATTCAAAATTATAATCTAAAATAATATTTTAAAAGCTGAAATATTTCAAAGCTTTTAGCTTTGATAGCTCAACTTTGAAAGATTGTAACTCACTGAATATAATACCAAAATCAACAAAATTATAATCTAAATTCATCTACAAACTGTAAACTAAGGTGTTGTTTGTTTTTTGAGAGACAAAATGTTTGCAGTCTATGGACAATATCTGCAAACATCTGCAGTAGAAGAGGTGGACTAAACGTCTACAGTCTGCAAGAAGAAGATTGTTTGATTTTTAACGTCTGCAGTCTAGTAAAATAAACTAAAATTTTAATAAAATTATTTTTTATACTTAAAATAGTTTTTCAACACGAAAATTTAAAATAAAATTTTTTTTATAACAATAAAATATAAATCATATATAAATCCTACAATCACAATTTTTCTTTTTAAAAAAAAAAATTATACAACATTGAAACACAAATCTAACCTCTAAAATCTATTATTTTCAAATCGTACAATATTACAACGTTGAAACATAAATCTAACCTCTAAAATCTATTATTTTTAAATTATACAACATTGAAATATAAATCAAACCTCAAATCTTTTTGACATCACATGGAAACAAAGCTGCAATTCATGAATCATTCCTCACACTCGTGTTATAATTTCACATATTATATAAATGTTCATAACTTATAGGGTTCTCTATACATGTTACAAAAACATTTCAAAAGCATTTCATCAAATAGTAACATGAATCCATCAGTCATTTGTGTTTATAATTTCCAACAAGTATATACATATAATTTTAAATAAAAATGTAATTTTCAGCAACAATAACAACTAATTTAAGCTAAAATGTGATTTCCAACAAAAATATATACATCAAATTTCAGTTAAAAATGTGATTTCCAACAATAATAACAACTAATTTCAACAAATCGAACAACATTTTTCATATTTCAGTAAAGTATATACATTTTCAGCAAATAAATATGATTTCCAGCACCTATGAACATCTAATCTCAGCAAATAAATCCGATTTTAAGCTAAAATGTGATTTCCAACAAAAATATATACATCAAATTTCAGTTAAGAATGTGATTTCCAACAATAATAACAACTAATTTCAACAAATCGAAAAACATTTTTCATATTTCAGTAAAGTATATACATTTTCAGCAAATAAATATGATTTCCAGCACCTATGAACATCTAATCTTAGCAAATAAATCCGATTTTCAGTGAATGTACATATGATTTTCATGTTTCAACAAACTAATCTGATTTCAGTATCAATAACTTCTTATTTCTAGCAAGTACAACATACCCTAGAAGATAACATCTGGTTTTAGGGAAAATGTTCTTACCAATGGCAATAGAGGTCAGAGACGCTGATGATAGAGACACAGTGGGCGTGAGAGGCGACGATGGAGACGGTGGGCGCGACTGGCGGCGGTGAACGACATGAACGATTGCAGAGCATATGAGAAATCTGGTGACAATGAAGTGTGTCTGTAGTGCAGTCGGTCATGAGGAAAAAGACGGTCCTAATCTAAGCGTCGGCAGCACGAGGAGGAGGAGGAGAGAGGTTGAAGAAGACCGATGGAGATAAGCATCGATGGAGGGGGAGACGTAGATGAATGTTGGTCGTTGGAGGCACTTATAAAAAATAAAGCGTGTTTTCTTAAATTAAAGAGGTGTGAAAACCTTAGAAGTCAATGGTCTACGCCAAGAAAACCTAACGCTGACATTTTTAAGTCTGTGCACTTCTAAAAAGCAAACATTTTACGAGGGTATATGTATGCGCGTAGTCTGCGCGACGCAGACTGAAGTGGTCACGCAGATCTGCAAAGAAAAAACAAACAACACCTAAATGTTGGAAAAAACCGTAGTTAAATCCGAATTAAAACGAATGAGTTATGGTTGTTTAAAAAATTCACAAATTACAAAATTTTAAAAATATTTCTGAAAAACTGAAAAAATTTCAGCTTTGATAGCTCAAGTTTGAAAGAATGTAACTCATTCAATATAATACCAAAATCAATAAAATTATAGTTTAAATTCATCTACAAAGTGTAAATTAAATGTTCGAAAAAACTGCATGTCAATCCGACTTAAAACGAATGAGTTATGGTTGTTTAAAATTTTTCACAGATTACAAAATTTTTTAAAATGTTGCTGAAAAACTGAAAATTTTCAACTTTGATAGCTCAACTTTGAAATACTGTAACTCATTGAATATAATACCAAAATCAACAAAATTATAGTCTAAATTTATCTACAAATTATAAATTAAACGTTGGAAAAAAACTAAATATCAATTCGACTTAAAACGAATGAGTTATGGTTGTTTAAAATTTTTCATAGATTACAATTTTTTTTAGATCGGGTCCAACCGATTCTTAACCCGGTAAAAACCGGATCGAACTGGAAAAAAAATTGATTGGTTTTGATGGATTCCTAGAACCGAGAACCGGTCCGGGGGTCCAAAAAAACGGTCTGGTCCAGTGCGGTCCGGTTCACCGGTCCGGTCTGGTCCACTGGTCTAAATGTTCATCCCTATTTATAGGATACAATATTACACAATAATCCCTCTAAATACAAGATAGATAATAATAGTCTAATATTCCCCCGTAAGCTAAATCCGATTTGCGACAGTTAGCTTGGACTTCAAGAAAATGAATCTCTCAGCAGATAAAGGCTTTGTAAACACATCAACTATCTGATCTTGTGTTGAGATAAGCTGAACTGACAATCTTCCTTGATTAACCTTCTCTCTGACAAAATGAAAGTCAACATCCACATGCTTTGTTCGGGAATGGAAAACAGGATTTGCAGACAAGTATGTGGCGCCCAGATTATCACACCATAAATTTGGTATAATGGACATGGGAATATGAAGTTCATCTAGTAAGGTCTCTAACCATGTTAGTTCACCGACTATATCAGCAAAGGCCTTACACTCAGACTCAATGGAGGACCTCAAAACAGTCTTTTGTTTTCTTGCGGACTAGAAAACTAAATTGGATTTGAGTTAGATAGCAAATCCTTACGTGGATCGATGGTCATCCGGGCAGCCTGCCCAATCAGCAACTGAAAAAGCGCTCAAGGAATTAAACGCAACATCAGTATAGGCATGTGAAATATTGGGCGATTGACGAGTGATTCGCAATCCATGATCGGAAGTGCCCTGCAAATATCGTAAGATGTGTTTCATTGCTGACCAGTGGTTTTCAGTGGGGGAGAGCATAAATTGGCAGACTTTGTTAACTGAATAGGTGATGTCGGGTCTCGAGAGGGTTACATATTGCAAAGTACCTACAAGTTGACGATATTGCACCTGATCAACAAAAGGAGGGCTATTGCCAAGAGAAAGATTGGTCGTTGTTGTAATAGGAGATAGGACAGTAATATATCATGACCATGGAGTTGAACCTCGATACCCAAGAAATATGTTAACAAACTCATATACTGGACTGCGAAAGACTTGCTCAAATTATGAACAACACGATCAATTTCACGGGGATTGTTTTATTGTTAAAATAACAATGCTCATTCCATACTCTCAAACTAAGGATACTCTCAGACTAAGGACAATTGACCATGTCTAATCCATGCTCCCGGATTAATGACAAATAACTATGTCCTCTCTATACTCATGGACTAAGGATAAATGACTCTGTGTAATCCATGCTTTCGGATCAATGACAAATCTTAAAGTTCGACTCTCCGTGTATATCTCACCCACACTCAAAAGTAGATACTACCTAATATCCATCTCAATTAATTTAGGTTTGTTTTGTACCCTAAATCATCATATATTATCAGATATGCTCTTAACACGTATTTCAGGTAATAACAAATATTTCACACACAAGCATATATTTAATACTTTAATCAATACTTTGTGTAAAATAGGAACCGAACTGGACCACCGATTTTACTGGTTCTATTCGTGTCTTTAATGTTGGAACCGGTCCTCGAGAAATAGCAACATACAGTTCTGATTTTTGCCGGTCCTACCGGTTCCCGGTTCCAAAAATTCACAAGAACATCCTCCTGGTTGCCTCCTGATCGGTTCTATCCGGTATCAGTTCCGGTCGGTTTTCCGGTCCAAATGCTCATCCCTAGTAGAGAGCCTTCATAGGCCTCTCTACGGATTGTTAATTTTGCAAAAAAGATTTTTCTTTTTTGTTATTTTTTGATAAATAAGATAGAAAATGGTTAAATTAGTGGAATTCTAAAATAAATTGCTTATATAGACGACAAATAACAAGTTCATAAAAATGAAAATTCCTAAAACAATGAAGAAGTTGGGAGTATTTAACATTTATTATATTTAAATAAAATTAATAATATTTTAATACATTTCTGTTTCAAATGAATAAGAAGATATGTAAGACGATGCAGTATGGTGTTCTCGTTATTGTCGACATGGATAGGCCTCAAAAACTTGGTAATGGGGGAACACCGCCCCCCTCCCCCCTTCTCGTTGCGTTATTTCCCGTGTTCGTTACAACTTGGCAAAACGTATGATTTTGAATAAATTGACTGTTTTAACAACACTCAAAATTTTAAAAAAAAAAAATTAACTTTAAACCTTATATAAATATAACTTTCATTTCATTATATACATCTTTCTTTCTCTCTTTCTCTTATATTTTATAAAAAAATTCATAGTTTATTCTCAATCCAAAAAATGGATCAAAACCCAAACACCCCCTCCATCATCAAACCCAAACACATACTCGTCTCTCAAATTTCCGGGTTATATAAATTATTTCAACCTTTTATCGTCTCAAGGATCACCACAAATCTCATAACAAGGCGTCACCTTCAATCCCGCTTCACCACCACTGCAATTTCCTAACTTACCTTACATTCAACAAAATCTATTTGGTCATAACCCAAATTTACAACAAAATATGTTCCCTATTTTTGCTTCGATGCAACAAAAAACCAACCAGCCACCACCTACAACACAACCATCGGTTAAAGTGAAAGCAGGAGGAAGTAGGAGAGGGAAAGGGAAAGGAAAATCGATAGCGGTTGAAACAGAAAATACAGATGTTCCACAATGGTGGACACCAGATGAGGAATATGCTTTGTCGACGGCTTGTTGTACTACTTCAAAAGACGAACTCCGCGGAAATAGAATGAATAACTCTGCGATAAGTTTCACGCTATTTTGAAGAAAAATATGTATAGCAACAATGACATGTTGAGCAGCAAATGGAGTTAAATAACTAAGCGGTGCAGCAAATTCAACGAAATTTACAACCGGCTTGAGGCGCAACAGCAAAGCGGAACCAACAACTTCGATTTGTTCAAATCTGCAAAAGAACAATATCGGGTCGATATGGGACATGTTTTCGAGTTTGAAAATCATGGGAGTTGTTGTGAGCGGATCCAAAGTGGAATAAAACGCATACATCGTCGAAGGTTCAATCCAAAATGTCTCGGAATTCGAGCTCGGTCGATATGCCAGTCACACAGACTCACATCGACCTAAACGTCGACAACGATGAGATCCCGGATGATATCGAGGAGATATCCCCACAACGACGACTGCCTGACGCGACAAAGCGAGGCGCGCTGCAAGGCATGCGGAGGAGGTTAAAGTGAAAGCAAAAGAGGCGGCGGAAATGAGAGCGAAATTCGACGAGCACAATTTATTAATAAAAGAAAAAAAATGGCTTGAAACGTCGGCATTTGGAGTTCCTAGAGAGGCAGACACGGGAGAAACAGAAGCAAAAAGAGAGGAAACTAATGACACATTAGTTGTCAATTCTTCAGACGAGCGAGAAATGTTTGACGTCTACTGATCTAATAGTGCTACAAGCGATGAATGAACAAATTAGGAAGAAATATTATGTTAATTAGGATTTTATGAGTAATTTGAATGATATTTTAGTTATTATTTTAGGTTTAAATTTATATTTTTTAATTGTATTCGTAATTTTAGATTTTAAATATTATGTTTTTTTTTTTTTTTTAAATTTTATGGTTTACAAAAATATATTATTTTAGTGATTAAAAAAAAATAATAATAAAAATAAATAAATAAATGGTGTTAGCATCTTTTTGTTCAATTTTCGTATTGCATCTTTCCCGACCTAAAAATAAAAAGGCAGAGATGCATAGACACACCAGACACAATTTGGTATTACAGTCCGGTCCGTATCGCCAAAACCAACAAACTTATCTTTCCCACACCGGTAGTTACTCTAAACTTCACCCGCCGCCTTGATAATGGACGCCATCGGTGTACTCCTCACCTTTCCCATGTCTTCTTACCTTGAACAGGAACTCGATAAGCGCTTCAATCTCTTCCGCCTCTGGAATTTCCCTCAGAAAAATGACTTCTTCAAGGACAACTCCGGTTCCATCCGAGCCGTTGTCGCAAATGTTAACGTCGGTGCCAACCGAGAATTAATTGATTCGTTGCCGGCTCTCGAGATTGTATCATGTTACAGTGTAGGGTTAGACAAGGTAGATTTGCGACATTGTAAGCAGAAAGGAATTAGGGTCACCAATACACCTGATGTATTGACTGACGACGCTGCTGATTTAGCGATTGGATTGATGCTGACGACCTTAAGAGGGATCAGTGAGTGCGATCGGTATGTTAGAGGTGGATTATGGAAGAAAGGTGACTTCAAATTGACTACTAAGGTTTGACTTCATCATCTACGCGAATTTCGCAATTTCTTTTTAAATCATCTCCTGTTTTACTGAATCACATTTCAGATGCTGCTTCACATTATCAAAAATAGTTATTTTGACTATATCAGATGCTATATCACTTTAAAGCCGATGATGCTTCGCACTATTACTGATCTGATTTAAAGATTTAGTAACCTAATATTGAAGGTGCCACGTATATGATCTGATTTCCACCCAACATATCATGATTCAATTAGGGTTTTGACTTTTGATGATAGTTACTTTCTTGTCTTCGTTGATGAATGTTGCCAACCACTGATTTCTCAGATTCAATGAATATTCAGCTAGAACATTTTCATTGATTCGTTTGCTTCATGTCATTTTGGACTACAATTTCATCTTTTGTTTATATTCCTTGTTGCAGTTCAGTGGCAAAAAGGTGGGAATCATAGGTCTAGGAAGAATAGGGACAGCAATTGCAAAGAGGGCTGAAGCATTCAACTGTCCAATAAGTTACTATTCCAGATCACAAAAACCAGAATCAAATTACAAATACTTCCCCAGTGTAGTTGAATTAGCTTCCGACTGTGACATCCTTGTTGTGGCGTGTGCACTAACCGAAGAAACTCGCCACATCATCAACCGCCAAGTCATCGATGCACTGGGTCCCAAGGGTTTTCTCATCAACATTGGGAGGGGCCCACACATTGATGAACCTGAACTGGTATCCGCTCTTGTTGAAAGGCGGATAGCAGGTGCAGGTCTTGATGTGTATGAGAATGAACCACATGTCCCTGAAGAGCTTTTTGGTCTTGATAATGTAGTACTCGTGCCACATATTGGGAGTGGCACTGTTGAGACGCGAATAGTGATGGCTGATCTTGTTGTTGGAAACCTAGAGGCTCATTTTTCCAACAACCCATTGTTGACCCCAGTCGTTTGAATATACACTCATCAATTCATTTGTGCTTTGTTGTCAATATACTTATTTTAGCAACTTTAAACTCCTCATCAATACCACTTCTATTTCATGGATCCGTGTAGAAGATTAATAAATATACAAAGCAGAATGTAGCATTGTGTTCATTGTGTTGGTGTTCAAAAAATAAATCTTGCAGGTGCTTCTAATTTCAATCGAAGTTTGTCAAAATGAGATATTGATTTTTGGTTAATTTAATTTGATACGATCTCTGCAATGCTTGAATAATTTGTCTGATTGTAAATTCATCTAAAAACATATCAGTAAATAAATTGCAACTTGAATCCATCTGCAAAGAAGTAACAAGGCGATAGGTAAGTGACAAATTTGATAGCAACGTATAGTCTAGACGCAACAAAGAAAATTTTGACAAAAAATAGACGCAGCAAATGGTCTTAGGCTCAAAGCAGCAACATGTTACAGCAATAAAGTAAAATTGATAGAGATATTACTGCTACTACAAGCATAAAAAGTAAAACAGTCGCTAATCATATACAAACTTCAGCCAAAACTGGACTTCTTTTTTCGTCGTCTTCTTCATCTTCATTCAATTTTTTGTTAGTTTCAGATTTCTTATCATTGGTATCTCCGATCTTCAATCCTTGCAGTCCATCAACACATGACTTCTCCGCCTCATCTGGCACCTCCGGTTCCACCACCTTATCCGGCGTACCCTCTCTTTCGCCTATAACCACCTCGTCTCCTATCACCTCCGGCAATTCACTGCCTTTCTTTGGAGCACAAGCCCCCGGAGGATCAGCCTCGGTTGTGATTCCGATGAGTCTGTCACCTCCAGATTCGTTTCCAGGCCATGGATCATTGATGCAGTCTCCTTCTGATTCATCATCGGAATCGTGGAAAATATGTGAGCGGACTGCGGTGGCCGCCTTCAGGAAGGCTTCTTGTATGGAGTCCGGAGGAAGTGCACAATCCTCAAGGCCTGCATCTTCGAGTAGCGGTGGTTTGATTTTATCCAACAAGCTACCGATATTAGCTTCTCCGGTGGCTTCCATTTGCAAATTCTTGAAAGTTGAATCCCTAGCACATGTATGAATCCATAGTGAGCAACAATCAAGGAGGTATAATTTCAACATAGCTTCAAAATCATCAAACAGAAAACCTAAAATCGGAAATCACAGCATAGATGGAACAAAACCCTATCGGCTCCTAAAATCAAAGGTGCAATAAATGAAAATCAAGCCTGAAGTCATAAAATCATAGCAGATAAAGGTGCTTTGTTCCTTTGTAACAAAACCAGAAATCGACATCAAACAAAACTCAAAATCGATATCAGATCTCATTAAAAGAAAATTCTCACTTAAATATTTGAAGAAGTTGAGGAATCGTCGACTTTCGTGGAAGAATGTTCAACAATCGATCGATGAATCAAAGGATTAAGACGATGTGCTCAATCGAACGGTGTCTACAGCCTTGGAGAAGAAGAACAAATGTGTAAAACTGATGAGTAACGATACGAGTGTTTTTTTTTTTTTTTTCAGATATGGGATGACTTGGAATTTACACGACACGCGTCTATCAAAAATTAATTACATGGCAAGAATGGGGGATTTTAGGCTATGCGAGGGTCGCCACCTAACCATGGAAAAAGTGACGTCGGTTTACCACCAACACACTGGATATAAGTTTAAAAAAAATTATGATTAATAAAATATTTTATATTAATTAAAATCACATTACATTAATTAAAAAAAACATAGAAAACTAAATCTAAAAAAATAGAAAATTAAACCTAAATTACTAACAAAAATATTAAAACACGTACAATTTATAAAATTATACAAAAAAACATAATAAAATATTTTTTTATTGAATATGTGTTTGTTTTGAAAGAGTATAGTGTGTTTTAGTTTGAAAATTATGTGTAAAATGAATGTATATAGAAAAAAAGAAAAATTGAAGAAATAATGAATTCAATTTTTTTAAATGCTTGAAAAGGTCATGAGCAAACAGTCAAAAACAAAACAACAATCATCTTTCGCGTCTTCTTCCTTCTTACCTTTCACGCCATAGCCAACCCACCCACCCCGAGGGCGGTGTTCAGGTGCCTCTAGTAAGGATGAAAGTGGGTTCAAAACCGGATAGGTTTACCCGAAGTTGGAAAACTCGAAGTTGGAAAACCCGAAATTGACAGATTATAAGAATCGCGAACCGGACCGGTATATGGTAATCGGTTCTGGTTCAATTCCGGGTATCAAACTGGGTAAAGTGGGTATGGAACCGCAAATTGATAATTGGAACCGGATTCGTGTATTAGACCCAGAAATGAAACCGAAAACCCAGAATTTTGAAACAAAAGAAAAAAAAAATATGTTGTAACATGATTAGAGGTTCTAATTAAAAAAATTAGTTAGAATAATTAAACAAGAAAATGAATATATATATATATATATATATATATATATATATATATATATAACACTATTTGTAAAAGATCCAGTGTAAATAGGCTAAAAGCTTATAGAATTTTAACCCAATAAACCAACAAAACGAGTTGATACTAAAAATAATAAAACTTCTGATTTCACCCTTTTTATCAAATACATTGTTATATAGTCAAATTCACTCAAATCAAACAACATAATTTATTACAAAAGTTATTACAATATAACATATTTAAGCGATTGCATAAGCCAACTTTTCAAAATTTCCTACATACGACTAAATCACCCTTTTTAATTAAACCATTCTTTAACATATAAAACCAAATTTATAGCCATTTATCAAGTATTAATATTAATATTACATATAAATTATGGTTCTTACAAATAAAATTCACCAAATAGGGGAATGGAGATAGGCTGGGATTTGGTTAGGTGGATGTCATGTTTCGTATATGTGAGTTTTCCATTACTTCAATGTTTTCTTTCTTTTTATTATGAGATGATATGCAAATTGAGATTATGATAAACATACATATATTTAGATCATCTCAAATCCTACAACATTTTCTTTAGACCAAAAATTATAAATAATATTTCATGTTTAACCTAACACTATTTTTTATACAAATTTCTATACCAAAAATATATTCCCTAGGTATTCATTTTTTAAAATTTATATAGATTATGATAAAATACTCATCAACTTAGCTTTTTACATATTTATTTATATTTCCTACATAAAAACTTTATAAAACGTACAAAAACTGGTTCCAATCCATTAAACCCGGTTTCTATTTTTTTACTCAGAATACCCAGACCCGTTGGACCCGTACCCAAAATGACAGGAACCCGGATAAGACTAATTTTGGAACCCAATACTCGGACCGTTTAAGCACTTTTCGGTTATACCGGTTCCGGTTTCGGTCCCGTTTTTTGGTTTTATAACTTATCCCTAGTCTCTAGTGGGTCAAAGTCAGCATCCTATGCGTGAAACGGCTACCACTCCCGAAATCCTTAAACACACCATGGTGAAAACCATTAGTCAAAACCATCCTTAGTCACATTAATCAAAATGACATCTAATCATTAACCATTTACAATTTTACAAAGTAATTATTTATCTTTTAAGTGTATATATATATATATATATATATATATATATATATATATATATATATATATATATATATATATATATATATATATATATCACATTTATAGTGTGCTAGATTGCATCAATAATAATTTAGTAAAAATCAACTTATTATTTAATCAAATAAAGATATATATTAAATGATTTTCATAATTATATGTATATTAGATGATATCTATAAATATAATTATTTTATATGGAAATAAATTAAATTCGTCATTAACGTCAGCAATAATATTTTTTCAAAATGAATTTGTATGAAGAAGAATGAGATTGTATTCAAGCCGAATAGAAGTGTATTCTAGTAGAATACACTCTCGTTCTACATATTCCATGCAACTTTATAATATTTTAAGTGATTGTGTCTTAAAACAAAACATGAATCCATATATAAAAACCTAAATACGAATTATTCTGAAAAAATGTTATTGCTAACATTAATGACGAACTTAATTAGTTTCCACAAAAGAATAATTATAATTATGGATATCATTTAATATCTATGTTACTTGATTAAATAATTATTTAATTTTACTAAATTCATATTAATGTATTCTAACACACAATAAATGTAAGAAACACATGAACCTAATCACATATATATATATATATATATATATATATATATATATATATATATATATATATATATATATATATATATATATATAAAGAGAGAGAGAGAGAGGGGGGGGGGGGAGAGAGAGAGAGAAAATCAAATAAAAACACCTAAAAGGTTGATAACGCGAAAACATTTCTGGATCAATCAATATATAAGGGCATATTAGTAACTATACCAAAAAGCAAAATTCCCTTAAATTTAGGACCAGTTACCAAAAAACAAAAAAATATTCAATTTTTTCTATTAATTGTATATACAAAACGTTTTTAGTCAAATTTATTTAAGACCTGAAAAAAATATAAAAAAAATTATTTTTTCTCCTATTTCACGTTTTTGTTTTTCAAAAAATGAATATAAATCCAATCTCAAATCAATACGCTTGTATTCACAAACGAAATGTTTCTTCAAAAAACCTAATACTACTCAAATCACAAATGAATGAACATCAAATTACAAATAATTTATTCACATGAATAGACACGCTCTTTCACGAGAATACACTGCTATTCATAAATAAATAAAATCATATACACATTAATACACTGTTATTCATAAATGAATATATTGTTATTCATAAATTAATACACATTCTATCATAAAATGAATACCTCTAATCATAAATAAATATACTCATTCACATGAATACACTACAATTCATAAATACATACAACAATTCACACATGAATACACTGTTATTCATAAATAAATACACATTCATCATAAACAAGTACAATATCCTTATTTAACAGAACATGCAAAAACCTTCATAAATCTGAATTTGAAACCTTTCATCCAACAATCCCTGCACATCTTCAGAAAAACATTTCTCTATTTCTTCCTTGTGAACCTCACCATCTTTTGGAATTAAAGGAAGTCTCAGTTTCAGAGTAGCTTGAAACGTATTCTGTGACATCGCTATTTTCACGGCCATAAAAGACCGACTTTTTTGTGTGTATGCTTTACAAAAATCAGAGTACTTCTTTTAATAAAAATGTTGCGGAATTTGTTCCCAGAAAAACACGATAAATACGTTATTAAAACATTTTCAAAGAAATGTATTTTATTCATTTTAAAACATTTGGGATGTTATCGTTAATACAGAAACATAAGCATAAATAGAACTTACATTCATTTACACTAGTGATCTACATCATTTTAAATCTCTCAGTGTAATGTGACTTCATATCAACACCTGTAATATAAATAAACTGAGTGGGTTAGGTTGGGAAACCTGGTGAGTACATAGGGTTTTCAACACACAATAATATAATTATTATGTTTAACAATCAAGCAATTAAACCCCATTACCCATCCCCATTATATTCTCCATTCTTAAGGATCTACCCTAAGAATCAGCTATTCCTCGTTCATTCATTCCTAAGGATCATCCAAAGGAATCGACACCAAGTCTATCATTGCCATGGTTTACACAACGGGCACTAAGTCCGCATAGTCGCTAGGGTTTATGCACTAAGTTTGCATAGCCGCCAGGGTTTAGGCATCAAGTTTGCATGATCACCAAGGTTTAGGCACCAAGTCTGCATGGTCACCAAGGTTTAGAGTACACCGAGTGAACACATCGTTCACAACACCTACAGGTTGCGAGCCTGCTAGTGTTCCACTGGACTGTCTAGAACAATTCGTGGTTGTCATCCATACTCTACTGAATGATGGGGACATCGTTTGGGAAAAAGGCTTCTCACATCGTACACCTCTCAACCATACCTCATGGTCTATATCACCTCTCAACTCATCGTCCAACTCATACTTCATCTATTATATCTACCCATGTTTTACCCCAACATTTTCATAGATATAAAATACATATGTAGTTTAAATCATTTAAAACATGTATAAAATCTTTTACCGAGCATAAACAACAAGTAAACAGACAATATGCACACATAGCACGTAGTAAATACTTCATATCTATGTGTAAGTTGAAAGGGACCATGCACTCACCTGAAAGGTGGTGACTTAGTACTCGAACAACGCTTCGATACTCTCAAAACAATTTCCTTCGATAAAACCTAGTATCAACACCACTAGGGTTTAGTCTAACGATAACCACGACAAATTAATAGTCTGACTATTATTATTATCATATAAGTGTTAAATAACACTCAATATAATTCATAATAATAGCCCGAATAATTATTTTAAGGACCTAATAACATTCCTATAATTATTTGAAAGCTATATTAAAAGTTGCGTAAGCATAGCACACTTACAACGAATTTTATCGAAAACCGGAACTTTATTTGGAGCAGCGTTTCAAAACCGACAGACTCTTTTTCTCGGGGCTTCCTTCGGGTGCTAGGGAGGTTCCCTGGGGTTTAGGAGTGTTTAGGATACTTAGAGAGAGAAAGAAGTTAAAGAGAGAGAGAGAGAGAGAGAGAGTGTGTGAAGAAAGGTGTGAAAATG